GGTGGGGTCCGGCGGGGGTCGGTGGGAGGAAAAGCAGGCGGTACCAAAGCTCCTCCCGCGCCCACCTTGGCCCGCAGGCGGGGCGCACCCCCTGACACCGATCGAGCGCTTTAAAGCGCCCCTGCTCTCCGCAGACTCTTGGAGAGGGTTGGGTCTCGACCCCCAAACGTGGCTCAAAAGTGGGTGCTGGGTTCTCACGATCTTGGTCTCCACCCCACCCCCTGGCAGCCACTTGCCAGCTTGCGGTGCCTTCCTTCTGGCCCGGGCACGGGTTGCACCGGATCCAGAGTCCAGAGGGAGAACCACCAGCGGCTGTCAGGCCCGAGGGGTGGGGCGGATGTGGGATGGGAGGGCCAGGCCTGCCGGGAGGGACCTGGAGGTTGTGAGAACCAATGGGCCTTTGAGGGTTGAGGGGGTCTTAGGGGCACTTGGGTACAGCCAGTTGCCATGTTTTGCACCCCCTACTCCTCTCCCATTTCTGTGGTTCCCGGATAGGAAACCCACAGCTTCTGCTTTTATGAAAAGTGGAATCAGGAAGTGGGGTCCAGCTCCTCTCGGTGGGAACCCCGCGATCTGGACTGTGGGCTTCTTTGCCTCCAAAGTGGCCATGAGAACAGGAATGTGAGAGTGCTTTAAACAGGTGAAAAGGGAAAGCTTTTATTAAAAAAAAAAATTATTGATTGATTAGAGAGAGAGAGCCCTAACCGGTTTGGCTCAGTGGATAGAGCGTTAGCCTTCGGACTCAAGGGTCCCAGGTTCGATTCCAGTCAAGGGCATGTACCTTGGTTGCGGGCACATCCCCAGTAGGGGGTGTGCTGGAGGCAGCTGATCGATGTTTCTAACTCTCTATCCTTCTCCCTTCCTCTCTGTAAAAAATCAATAAAATATATTTTTAAAAAATAAAAAAGAGAGAGAGAAAGCAATAGCATCAATTTGTTGTTCCACTTATTTATTCATAGGTTGATTCTTTTTTTAAAAATATATTTTTATTGATTTCAGAGAGGAAGGGAGAGGGGAGAGAGAGACTGAAACATCAATGAGAGAATCATTGACCAGATGCCTCCTGCACGCCCCCTACTGGGGATCAAGCCCACAACCCCGGGCATGTGCCCTTGACTGGAATCAAACCCGGGACCCTTCAGTCCACAGGCCGAAGATCTTATCCACTGAGCCAAACCAGCTAGAGTGATTGGTCCTTATACTAGTATATGCCCTGACCCGGGATCAAACCTGCAACCTTGGTCCACCAGTGGTCAGCAAACTCATTAGTCAACAGAGCCAAATATCAACAGTACAACGATCGAAATTTCTTTTGAGAGCCAAATTTTTTAAACTTAAACTATACAGGTAGGTACATTGTTATTCACTTAATTAGGGTACTCCTAAGGCTTAGGAAGAGCCACACTCAAGGGGCCAAAGAGCCGCATGTGGCTCGAGAGCCGCAGTTTGCCGACCACGGGTAACCAACCGAACTACCTAGCCAAGGCAGGAAAGATACTTTATAGCAACTTAGACACCCCTCCTAATTTGGTTAAATAAAAAAGTAAAATCCTTTATACTTATTAAACACTGATTAGTCTACCAAACACTTCACATACATGATCTTATGTCATCATCATAGAAGCAGAGTGGGATGCCTGTTACTCTCCCATTTTGTAGATAGGAAGACTGAGTCTCTGGTTACAGTCCTCCCGGCAGGAGGGGCCGTAGTTTGGTCTTGCAGCCTGACAAGGTTCCCTCCTACCCCCTGAGCAGCGAGCGCCCCAGCCTTTGGGACCCTCAAAGGAATGGAGGCCCCATGTGGGACGCACAGAGAAGGGGGGTGCTCATACACATGGGAGTTGCCTCAGTCCCGGTGCAGACTCTGACCTGGGCCTGGAACTTGGGGCTCTTTCCTGGCGCCTGGCAGAACCAGCTGATCCCTCCTTCTCCTTTCATCCCAGGGGAAGTGGTGTCCTGCTGGAGGGAGAACTGGTCGATGTATCTCGGCACAGCATCTCGGACGCCCATGGCAGGAAGGTGAGGATGCTGGGGACACTGGCAGGAACAGATAACGGCCCCACGGTCCTCACCCACCAAGGCACCTCCGCGTGCTTGGCTCAGTCAGTGCCGAGTCTTGGGTCCAGCTCTTTCCTCCCTGAGGGACTCAGGTGGGAGATGGATCGGGTGGAAAGGGATCCGTTACGGCGCGCTAGGCTACGGACAGATGGGAGGGTCTGGGTTCTTTCTGAGAAGGCAGACCAGGCCCTGAACCCAAGTGGTGTGTTTAGGGTGGAGATTGGGAGGGTTGAGCGCAGGAAGGGGTGAGGTGAGGTGAGGTGAGATGAGGTGAATGGTTCGGGAATGAGGCTGTGGGTGTGGAGTGGCCTGTAAGGCCCTTGGAAGAGGTCCCGTGGCCTTCTGGTGGAAGATACTTATTTTATTTATTTACTAGAGGCCTGGCCTGCAGGGATCGGGCCGAAACTGGCTCTCTGACATCCCCTGAGGGGTCCTGGATTGTGAGAGGGCGAAGGCCAGGCTGAGGGACCCCACCAGTGCACTATTGGGGCCAGGGAGGGACCGCGGGAGGTTGGCCAGCCAGGGAGGGAGGGCTCCAGGGCGTGTCCGGCCCTTCTTGCCCAGTCCCCGATCGGCTGGACCCCAGCAGCAAGCTAACCTACCAGTCAGAGCATCTGCCCCCTAGTGGTCAGTGTGCATAATAGCAACCGGCCCAACGGTTGAACAAACAATCGGACACTTAGCATATTAGGCTTTTATTATATAGGATTTTAAAAATATATTTTTATTGATTTCAGAGAGAAAGGGAGAGGGAGATAGAAACATCAGTGATGAGAGAGAATCATCGATCGGCTGCCTCCTGCACGCCCCCCACTGGGGATCTAGCCTGCAACCCGGGCATGTGCCCTGACCGGGAATCGAACCTTGACCTCCTGGTTCATAGGTCGATGCTCAACCACTGAGCCACGCCGGCCAGGCTGATGGGACAGATTTAGTGCCGGTGCCTTGCTGGTTGCTCCACCTCGGGGCCTCGCTTTCCTTCCCTGTTTCTCCCCGGAGGCATTTTGCCGCCTGCTTTGATTAGAACAGCTGCAGCCCTGGCCGGGCTGATGGGACAGATTTAGTGCCGGGTGCCTTGCTGGTTGCTCCACCTCGCTTTCCTTCCCTGTTTCTCCCCGGAGGCGTTTCCTCTTCCTTTGTCCCCGGGAGCATTTTGCCGCCTGCTTTGATTAGAACAGCTGCAGCCGGCACTAGAGTCTTCATGCTTTCTGCCGTGCCTGCTCCTGCGTTATTTCACTGACCCCGTGTGACATTCCTGAGAGCAGATGTCACATTGTCCCTGTGCGACAGGGGAAGCTGAGGCTCAGGTGGGTTCAGGGCGTCTTAGCTGCTGCCACGCCTGCCGCTTGGTATTTGGGCCCTTGGCGCTAGGTTTGGGGCTGTCTGTGTATACTTTCTGTCTTGGCTGTGGGGAGACCTTGGGCTCAGGCCGTGGGCCCACCCTCTCACGGACGTCTAGCCTGGTTCATTGTGTGTGGTGATACTCTATGAAACACGCAAATGGCCCATCCCGTGTGGCTCAGTGGTTGAGCGTCCACGTATGAACGAGGAGGTCACGGTTCGATTCCCGGTCAGGGCACATGCCCGGGTTGCAGGCTCCATCCCCACTAGGGGGTGTGCAGGAGGCAGCTGATCGATGATTCTCTCTTATCATTGCTATATTTTTTAATGAGATTTATTTATTCATTTAATTTTAATCTTCACTTAAGGATATTTGTCCATTGATTTTTAGAGTGGACTAGAGAGGGAAAGACAGAAATATAGATGTGACACAAACACATCAATTGGTTGCTTCCTGCACGAGCCCTAACCAGGGCCCGGGCCGGGGCGGAGCCTGCAACTGAGGTACATGCCCTTGACCGGAATCGAACCCAGGACTCTTTGGTCTGCAGGCCGACTCTCCATCCACTGATCCAAACCGGCTAGGGCTATCATTGGTATTTCTATCTCTCTCTCTCCCTCTCCCTTCCTCTCTCTGAAATCAATAAAAATATATTAAAACAAAACATGTGAATGAATGAATGGGTGTACGTATGGATGGATGAATGGATCAATATTGGAGTAGGGATCTGCGCAGCTTGAATATTTTTGGAGCTGAGGGTGGGGTTCCAGGGTAGAGAGTGAGTTTGGGGAGGGCTGCGTGGAGCCCTGTGGGGCGTGTGTGTGTGTGTTGGGGGTGAGGGGGGCAGCGGAGCAGCCCCCTGACTCTCTGCCTGCCCCCAGGAGCGCTACTACGTGCTGTATGTCCGGCCCAGTCGCATCCATCGCCGGAAGTTCGACCCCAAGGGAAATGAAATCGAGCCCAACTTCAGCGACACCAGGAAGGTGAACACGGGCTTCCTCATGTCATCCTACAGTAGGTGCCTCTGCCCTCTGCCCTCTGCCCTCTGCCCTCTGCCCTCCTCTCCCGCCCTGTGGCCCGAGAAAGGGTCTTTGCAACATGATTGACTTTATTACTTATTTATTTCTAAATATATTTTTATTGATTTCAAAGAGAGAGGGAGAGAGAGATAGAAATATCAGTGATGAGAGAGAACCATGGATCAGCTGCCTCCTGCACGCCCCCCCCCACTGGGGGAATCGAGCCCGCATTCTGGCCATGTGCCCTGACGGGAGTCGAACCTGGACCTCCTGGTTCATAGGTCGAGTCAAGTACTGAGCCAAGCCAGCTGGGCAGCATGATTGGCTTTAAAGTCTGGCCTGAGGGCCCCTGGCTGGGCTCCTTCCTGTACCCCGTTCACTCAGATGATCCCAGTGCCCCCCCCGACCCTCAGTCTGGCACAGTGGTCGGCAAACCGAGGCTCCCGAGCCACATGCGGCTCTTTGGCCCCTTGAGTGTGGCTCTTCCACAAAATACCACGTGCGGGCGCGCACGTACAGTGCGAAGTTGACTTAAAACTTTAAAGTTTATTAAGTTAATTTTAGGGAACGTTGTGGAGTGAAAGAAGATGTAGTGTCGAGGATGGAGAAAGGTATGTGGAGATGGTTTGGACATACAGAGAGGAGGAACGAAAGGAGACAGACGAAACAAGTATACAAGACGAGTGTGGATGGGAGAGTTGGAAGGGGTCGACCTCAGCGAACGTACCTCCATCAGATTGCGGACGTTTTTAGCAACCTACCTATATCGTTTCAGTTTAAAAAATTTGGCTCTCAAAAGAGATTTCAGTCGTTGTCCTGTTGATATTTGGCTCTGTTGACTAATGAGTTTGCCGACCACGGGTCTGGCAGGATCGTCCATGAACCTGGCTCTGGCTCTCACTGCCTTGATGCAGAGCCCAGGCCAGGGCCCTGGGGGCCTCCACTTTCCTGCCAAATTCTCATCTGGGTCTTGGGCCCTTCGGGATGTCATATCTCTCCCTGGTTTGGGCAGTAGCAGGACCTCTGCTATCTACCCCTGTGTGGGAAGGTTTTGAGGTTGCGCGGAATCCATCCATCCCTCTGTCATTGCATTCACTCGTGCTTTCCACAGCTCATTCATTCTCTGAACATGGTTGTTGTTGTTAATCCTCACCCGAGGATGTTTTTCCCATTGAATTTTTAAATTTATTTTTATTGATTTCAGAGAGAAAGAGAGAGAGAGAAACTTCATTGATGAGAGAGAATCATTGATTGGCTGCTTCATGCACACCCCCTACTGGGGGGGTTAGGCACAACCCCGGGCCTGTGCCCTTGACTGGAATCGAACCTGGGACCCTCCAGTCCATAGTCCGACACTCCATCCACTGACCCGAACTGGCTAGGGCTCCCATTGATGTTTAGAGAGTGGAAAGGAGGAAAAGAGACAAAGAGAAACATCGATGTGAGAGAAACACATCGATTGGTAGCCTCCCGCATGTGCCCCGACCAGGGCCGGGAACCCAGCCCAACCAGGACCAGGGATCAAGCCCGCAACCTATACGTGCCCTTGACTGGAATTAAACCCGGGATCCTTCAGTCCTCAGGCTGACACTCTATCCACTGAGCCAAACCAGCCAGGGCTGAACATTATTTATTTATTTATTTATTTATTACTGATTTCAGAGAGAGGAAGGGAGAAGGAGAGATAGAAACATCAATGATGAGAGAGAACCATTGATCAGCTGCCTCCTGCACGCCCCCTATTGGGGATCAAGCCCACAACTTGGGCATGTGCCCTGACTGGGAATCGAACCGTGACCTCCTGGTGAATGGGTTGATGCTCAAGCACTGAGCCACACCAGCCGGGCAATTGTCTGCACATTTAATGAGCATCTACCATGAGCCAGGCCCGGAGCCCATGCCTGACCTCCTCTGCCATGAGCTCCTTGCTGAGTCCGGGAAGGATGGGCTAACTCCTGCCCTCAGCTGGCTGTGAGCATGTAGGCTGCCCAGTCCTCCCCTGGCAGCTCCCTCAGTGCTGGTTTTTTTTTTTAATTTATTTGTTTTTAACCTCACTCGAGAATATTTTTCCATTGATCTTTAGGGAGAGTAGAAGAGAGAGGGAAAGACAGAGAGAAACATCGATGTGAGAGAAACACATTGATCGGTTGCCTCCTGCACGGGGCCGGGGAGGAGCCTGCAATTGAGGTACGTGCCCGTGACCGGAATCGAACCTGGGACCCTTTGGTCTGCAGGCCGACGCTCTGTCCACTGAGCCAAACCGGCCAGGGCCCTCAGCGCTGGTCCTACAGCGGGAACAATCCTCTTGTGCTGTGTGCCTGCAGAGGTGGACGCCAAGGGGGACACGGACAGACTGACGCCCGAGGCCCTGAAGGAGCTGGTGAATAAGCCGGAGCTGCTCGCCTTGACAGAGAGCCTCACGCCTGAGCAGACCGTGGCCTTCTGGATGCCCGAGTCGGAGATGGAGGCCCTGGAGCTGGAGCTGGGGGCCGGGGTTCGGCTGAAAACCCGAGGCGACGGCCCCTTCCTGGGTGAGCAGTGTAGCCCTTGCTGCGGCCTCGTGTTCCCATTGGACCTGCGGGCCGCCCACCCCTCCTGCTTAGAGATCTGGGAGCAGCCAGGTCTGGCCTCTGCGGAGACAAGACCCCTTGAGATATATCCCTAAGTCCCAGGGCAGTGCCCTGAGGCCAGTAGTCTGGACACCCTGGATCGTGGGGTGCTGTCCAATCCCAGGGTACCTGTGGGTGGTGCCCTCTCCTATCTAGGGCTTTGGGGGTCCCATCCAGGGTCTCCCCGAGGTCCACACCCAGGCCTGCAGAGAACAATGGGTTACCCCCAGCCGCAGGGACCCCAGCAGAATGGGCCAGCCCCCGCCACTGTGTTGCCGCCACAGGAAGAGAGGCCACTCACCTTCTTTCCTTCTCTCAGATTCATTAGCCAAACTTGAGGCTGTCAGGGACCCCAGTAGAATGGGCCAGCCCCCCGACTGTGTTTCCACCACAGGAAGAGAGGCCACTCACCTTTTCCTTCTCTCAGATTCATTAGCCAAACTTGAGGCTGGAACAGTGACCAAGTGTAATTTCGCTGGTGATGCAAAGACGGGGGCATCATGGACCGACAACATCATGGCCCGAAAGTCTTCCGAGGGGGCCACGGCAGAGACCCGAGAGCAGGGGGACGGGGCAGAGGATGCGGAGTGGGTAGGTCAAGGGCAATGACTATGGACTTGGCGTTGGTGTGGTTTACCTCTTGGCAGGAGTTGTGTGTTTTTAATATGTTTTTATTGCTTTTTAGAGAGGAAGGGAGAGGGAGATAAAAACATCAGTGATGAGAGAGAATCATGGATCGGCTGCCTCCTGCATGCCCCCTACTGGGGATCGAGCCCACAACCCAGGAATGTGCCCTTGACCAGGAATTGAACTGTGACCTCTTGGTTCCTGGGTCAACGCTCAACCACTGAGCCACACAGGCCGGGCTTGGAAGGAGTTTTGTTCGTACCAGCGGTGGTTGTGCGTAGGACAAGGAGACAGCTTGTAAACTTGACCCTCCAGCCCATGGGTCCTCAAACTACGGCCCGCGAGCCACATGCAAATACAAATATTGTATTTGTTCCTGTTTTGTTTTTTTACTTCAAAATAAGGTATGTGCAGTGTGCATAGGAATTTGTTCATAGTTTTTTTTTAAACTATAGTCCGGCCCTCCAACGGTCTGAGGGACAGTGAGCTGGCCCCCTGTTTAAAAAGTTTGAGGACCCCTGCTCCAGCCTGTTGGAATTCCGTGGCCTTCCTGAGGGTGTGTTAGCAGCGGGAAAATTCCTTCAAGGTGTGAATGAGGACAATATGGACCTTCCTTTTTTTTTCTCAATATATTTTATTGATTTTTTACAGAGAGGAAGGGAGAGGGATAGAGAGTTAGAAACATCGATGAGAGAGAAACATCAATCAGCTGCCTCCTGCACACCTCCCACTGGAAATGTGCCAGCAACCAAGGTACATGCCCTTGACCAGAA